TTCATTGATTGACGCCAAAATTTTTTTATTTAGTGTCTCTACAATTAATATATAGAGGATAAGTGGTACAACTACTTACCAACAAAATTTCTTATGATTTTATAAGCATCAACTTTTCGATCATATTGCTTGCTCATAGTGCCAATGATTTTGTTTTTCTAAAACCACTGCATATATAATATTGTTTGTTAACATGTATGAAAAATCAATATGGACAGAAACACTCGATTTCAGTGTTTACCTGTATTTGTTTTTCCAGTTGATTTGTACTTTGTAGACATGTGTTATTGTGTACATAGTTTTGTAGGCATGTGTTATTGTAGACATGTGTTATTGTGTATTTAGAGGATAATCGAAAGTAGTGTTTACTTTAGGTTTGGCCGTAATCGTGTTATTAAAAAGAAAAAAATACTGTTAATTTATATTCTTTAAATAAAATTCATAGAATTCATGTAATATAGATTCGTTGGCGTATGGTGTTGGGCTTTCTGAGATTATAAATTCGTTGGCTTCTGGTGTTGGGTTTTTTGAGATTTGAAATGGCTTCCGTAGGGGTAATTTATTTACATAAAAAAATTTAAAAGCCCAAATTAAAAGTTTCTTAAAACCCTCTATGATTGACACCTATGATTTTTCACCTAGTGTCTCCTAATATAGAGGATTCAATTTTGAAATATCTCTACAAGTATTATATAGTTACAATGAATAAAGGGAAATTGGGTGAAGTAATCGTAACAAAAACGTATTAAGTAAATGACCATATCATTTATATGGATCTATAGTATGTCATATATTTAACTTGAAAAAAATAAATTGCCCACACACTAAATGCGTCTTTATCACCTGAGCCGGTCCAATACTACGAGCCGCCTAATGCAAAAAAGAAAAGGCCCAAATGCAAGCGAAAATACGAAAAACACAAAACAACCGCCTAAAGCCAAAAAAATAAAAGAAATCCAAGCTTATCAACCACTACACTAGAAGTGTTTTTACTAATTATGATGTCCTTAAAATTATTAACTTACTAGATTTTTCATGCTTTCCTGTTTAACTCAGACAAGAAATGCGGTGGTGTTGCTGTGAAAACGGTAACATCTTCGGCTAAAATGTAAGTATGTGGGATAGCGTCGTGTGGTATGTGAGATATCGTAGATCGTGTCCATTTGGTAGCCTCATGTGAGCAGACGTGTAGTTGATAGAAAACATACAAAATTACTCAATCCTCAAACCAAAGATTGGTTTACTCCCATAGTTTAGAAAACCCACCTCAATTCCCAACCGTGAAATGTGCTAAAATTTCTGGATCACTTTTTTTTTTTATCGAAAATTTGTGTTATGTGGATTCAAATCTTAATGATAGACTAACCTATATTCTTTCTGTTTCAAAATGTAAATTATTTTACTACTTTTTTACTAAAAATATCATTTAATATATTCATTAAAAATAATTTGACTAATCATATAAAAGACTGCAAAATACTAGTGGTCACACAATATTCAATAAAGTTAAAAAGTACCTAGGATTGTTAAAGCAACTTACATTTTGAAACAAAAAAAATCTCCAAAACAACTTACATTTTGAAACGGAAAAAGTATATTTTGGGACATGCAAGGAATATATTTTGGCCCTATAGCCCACAAATATTTATTAATTGAGCAAGTAACCAATTAATCTTTATGTGGCACAGTTACAACCACTAGATTTATGTTAATTGGTTACTTGCTAAATTAATAAGTTTTTTTTTGTTATTAGACAAATTAACCCAAGTTTTATTAGAAAAATATGGTTTGAAAACTAGGGTTGTTTTGTTTTTAATCCAAATTATTTTATAATAAATTGTTTGTATAATTTGTTTTCTCGGCTAGACCCAGACATGAGCTCACATACATTCCAACGGTGAAAAACTAAATCGGACTCGATTTAGATATGCCTATTAGAACATGATTATAGGTGGGTAATAAGAGTAAATATAGTGGGTTTTTAACAATTAAACCTATTTAATTAAATTAAAATGGGTTGGGCTTTATTTTTACGGTAATTATACAGATCGTGGTTGGTTTTGATTAGTCGAGATTAATAAACAAAAGGAAAAAAAAACTTCACGCGACATCGTTTTCATCGT